GCCTCTGTTTCAACAATTACGTAGAATTGAAAGGAGAGAAGACAAAGGTTTTGACAGTTTTCAGCCTCCTATAAAACGCGCCACGCATTGAACTTCCACATGGCATTGTAGTCTCATGTTGATGCTAGCTTTCTTCGATGCCTGCGTGAGGGCTGGATTTCACTCTCCACTACGATGTGGGTCCATACAGTTGATAATGTCGCAACTAATCGGGACGGTGTCAGTAGACATGAGATGAATCCGCACGGCGTTTTCCTACCTTACGGGTTGTTCTTCTTCCTGATTCGCTTACTCACTGAATCCCCTAACTCCCCCCTTCAATGCGACCCCCCCCATTCCCCATCATACCTACCACTTTCCTAAATTTTCTCAACATTCTACCACTTTTTCCGGAATTTCAAAAGAACTTTTCAGTCCCCCCCCCCACCCACCCCTCCCCAACCCCCCCTGCCCGGCTGGAATACTCCCCACCATGATAAAGGGTTCTCTGAAACAGAAAAATTAAACATCAATATTTTTTCATTGGCGAGCTACCGACCATGCTCCTCCAGCGACTCAATACCGCCCCCCCCCCCTCCGCCACTGAACAGAATCTCTAAGCTAGGACGTGCCCTGTTCGCGTTGGGCATCAGTGTTGTATGAAGAGCTAACATAATGAAGAATGTCATTATGTTTTTACCAGCTAGCCGCAGTATCCTGGATAACTATGTACTTCTCAAATTGAAAATATTTTGTCATTAATGAATGTATAACGAATCATCGTCGGTAGAAATGGAAAAATAACTTGGCCGAAACGTTATTCGATCGAGAGAACGTAAGGCTGGAGCGTGAAAAGGTCATTCGACTGTACTATACCTGTCTGCTGAATTGCAATGGGAGTAAAGCTGGAACAACAGTGGGCGGCATGTGCAATTCACAATGCATGTGCATGTCGAGGATGGTCACTACTTTCAATTTTACTATATTGGAAAACAGTTTTTTGTCCAGCTATGGTAGTAAAGTTGAGGTTTTCGAAAGAGTATTTGAATTGAAGTTGGATATTAAATTTACGTGACGATTATCCAAAGACAAAAATGAGTAATCACTGAATTAGGAAAAAATGGTATCAAAATAAAATAATAAAATAATACTAAATTATAGAAAAAACAAGGAAAAGGAAACAAGGCTGAAATGAAACCAAACTAAAGCAGCTGCTTTGGATGCTAGGTGATGAAAGCATTTTTCGGCGTTCGAGTAGTGTACAATAGCTTTCGTTCGAAACTGAATCTGATGGTATACCCTGATGGAAGGGAGTAGATACCCTCGAAAACTTTCTCCAACCACGATTAGATCAATCGGGTGCAAAAAATAATCGATCATGTGCACGGAAGCCATCATTCCAAGTACTAAGTAAGCCACAGAGGATACAGGCTCTATCTGAGTTAAGCCTGTTATAGTCCTACAAAAAAATCGGGCAGAGCTGGTGTACTTGCGGGTGGGACCGGTAAGAGGATCTCGAACTAACTAACATCTTGTTCGCTACGGATGCCACGGCGCTTCAGGGAGGCTAGAGGTTGGCAGGGTGCCAGCTAATTTTAGTTCTTAGAAGTTATTGCATGTGCATGTTTTCTATTAGTTGTTGCAGCAGGGCAAACGACAACAACCGGTGGAGAGCGGGTTGCCGCCGCGCTAAACCACGCCTCCCTGACACGCCTCAGCATCTGCAGCGAACAAGACGTTACCCCAGGTAAGCTAAGCTTCTCACTCGCTGGTTATTCCAGAGGAGGTTCATTTATAGGATTCGCAGGATCAGGTGTATATTGAAAAGGCCTCACAAACAGATGCAGAGCCAAATGCAGAGGCAGATCCCATTCAAAAGCCACTATAGTTCTGGAAGATACGGAGTGTGCAGGAGTTCCCAAGAAAAGACTAATCTGAGTCGAAATATCTGAACGTTCTATCACTATAGTAACGGTTAACTGGTAACACAGATGCCTGTTAGAGTAGATCAATGACATGCATATCGGAAAGAAGTCAGCTACGTGACGCACCAAAAGCTGGTCAATCATCATTAATCACGTACCCTTTCGTTCCCGCGTGTGGTAGAGCTTGGGACAAACCTCCCCATGGGACGAGGGATGACGGGAGAAGGGCTTCACTCTTACTATACACTTCAGCATAAGGCGGATGCCTACCAGTAGCGCTCACAAAGAACAGCAGAATAAAAGGACCAAGGAAATGAAAAAATGAAGAACAGAACTAAAAATGCGGAAAAAATCTTAGAAATTATAGTAAGGTTCTCACAGCCAGGTCCGCTACGCAGTAGTACAAAGGGAAGCATCGCATAGAATAACTCACAGATCACAAAAAGTTCCTGGGATGGCCACCTCATTCCAAGCGGACTGATATAATTCATATTTTCCTTTTGACTAGAAGATTCAGCGCAGTCGGCTTGGTGGGGCCACCGAGTGGTGCTTAGCTAAGCTTGTACAATCAACCCTGGGAATTCCTGTGACCAAAGGGACTCAACAGCTTCACAGAAGTTAGCAGTTCAGACCAAGTGAGACCTGCTTGGTAACATGAACCAGCAAAATGATCTGAAGAAACTGCAAAATGCCCGCTCCAACACAGCCAAAGATTCCGTAAAATTTCATATCTACTATGGGAAAACAGGGCAAAGAAGTGGTAAACGGGAAGGTTGTTACTTGTTATGCTTGGATGGAACAATAAGACGTGGTTGGTAAGCTGATCAATGGACAACATAAAAGCGAACCCTACGACCGCGACGTTACGGACGTCACCAGGGATACGGAATCGGCATTGTGACAGGAAATGTCCATTTGGGGAAATCTGCCTGTGACAGGAGATGTCAGTGGTTCCCAATATTTCGTCAGTCTTAAAAAACAAAGCGTACAGCAGCAGCAACAAGTAACTGTTTCTCACGGAATGAGTGAGACCTTTCCTAACTCCATGTGACAATCACAACTAGGTTATTCAAGGTACTCCGAAATTGGCTTATAGCCGACATCAGAGATACAGTTCATGTCTCGAGGAAGGAGAGGCGTGGCTGCTTACCTCACTTGAAAGTGACGGCAGCCGCGCTATAAGATGTTTCCAAATAGGAACACTTGCAGCCATGTCATTTTCCAGCACTAGACAGGATGAGGTCGGCCTTAATTGGAATTAACCACGAAAGCCAACCTTATGTCATGTTTAGTTAAAATACGCAGCCAAAATACGCAGCCACACCTTCTACATTTCTTGGATACAGGGTTTATATAATTGTCATCATGATTATGATTTATTGTCGGTTAGTAAAGCAGAACAGAACACGTTTTAGGATAGTGGCTAGACACTCTTACTTCAGCTTCACAAGAGTTCACAAGTTTTACCAGAGTGAGATTTGTAAACCGGAACTAGGGAAGCAATGATAATACAAAATGCCCCCCCCGTCGACAAACCGCGACGTACTTTTCATCTGGAAGACCTCCAACATCGAGCAGCTCCGACACGTCGCTACGGTCCAGGATATCATCTTCACCGCAGTCGCCAAGGCGCGGGTTGATGGTATGGACCGGAAGTTCCTGGAATGGAAGACCGATATTTTCTTCGTGGACCCCCGGACTGAAGGTGAGCGCTGGCGGCCGAGCAACTCTCGAG